CACACACACACACACACACACACACACACACACACACACACACACACATGAACACAAATAACGGAAAAGAGAGGAAACAAAAAATTTATGTGGTGCGATTTCGCACCTTTAGCATCCCCCCCCACCCCTTCGACTTTCCCCCTAACTTTTCCTATTCTCCCTACTTTCCGTCCTCTGTACTTTCCCCTCCTCTTCTCGTCCTTCCCCTTTGTCCTCCTCCCCCTTTTCCTCCCGTTCCATCTCTTTCTGCCTCCCTACCCTCCCTCCTTTTTCCTCCTCCTCCTCATGTTCCTCTTCCTCTTCCTGTCCTCGCCCTTCCACTCCTCTTCCTCGTCCTCCCCTTCATGTCGCTTCGTCTCCCTTTTGCGATCAGAGTCAGTAGGAAAAAACAAAACCACCATAGCCTGTTTCGGCCCCCTTTCTCAACGCCATTATAATCTTACCTTGTCCTCGCATATAGTGCTCCTTATCTTTCATCTTAATCGGCATCTTCATACTCATTTACGTCAGTCAGCGTCGTCATGGTGGGGTGCTTGGACTCTCTCTCTCTCTCTCTCTCTCTCTCTCTCTCTCGCGCGCGCGCACGCGCGCACACCCACCCACCTGTGTTCGTGCGTTTGTGTGAACCCCCCCAAAAAAGCACGACTCTGCCAGACTGTTTCGTTGGACTTTCACCAACTCATCAGGAGGTTGAACCCCAACAGTCTGCCCATGATGCATTTGCGTGCACGTGCGTGTGTGCGTGTCCGTCCGTGAGTGCATGTGCGTGTGTGCGCGTGCATGTGTGCATGTGCGTGAGTTTGTGCATGTGCTTGTTCAAGCGGGCAGGTGGGCCGGCGGGCGGGCGGCCGTGTGAGTGAGTGCTGTCTCGTTCGCAATACACAGGCTCAGTGCGCCGCCGAAGGCATGCGCGGGGGCCGAACCGCTGCGCCCTACAGGAGGCAGGCCCCCCTGGAACCGGTTTTTCCCCACGCCTGGCTAATCTGGGCCGTTGGCCAACTGGTACCGGGCCGATGGCCCGGATTTCCGCGCGATCTGAATCTTAAGACTCTAAGATCGCGCGGCGATCCAGGCCGTTCGTCAAAGCGGACGGCCTGGATCGCCGCACGATCTTAGTCTTAAAGTCTTAAAGTCTTAAGATCGCGCGGAAAACCGGGCCGTCGGCCGGTAGGCCTCGGGCGGCCCGGATCGGCCAAACGCTGCGCACCGAATAGCGATTTCTATAAGTGTAGGGAAAAAGGGAAAGTAATAACGGTTGTGGTGTGGCTGATGCCGTGCCCTATTGTTTTGCAAAGTGCACTGTTTTAGTTGATGGTTATATAACTTTCACATTTCTTACATTTCCAATTTCAATAATATTTCAAAATTGAAACTTTACAATGCATAAATATTAAATAGTAAATAGTAAATAGTAAATACACCCAGATCATTTCATAGATAGCTCTGATGATGGACAATGGAGACCGTGAAGAAAGGAAAACACATCTTTGAAGAGTCTAAGATTCCGAAGAGATCTCTCACACAAGGACTGTGTGATAAAACCCAAAAACTGAAAATCTGAAATTAAATTAATGAATATACCATTATGATACACATACACTTCGACCAGCGCAATGAGAGCACGCAGTGGCTACAGAGTTGGAGGGGTGAAAGCACAACTTCCGGTGTAAGGAAACAATCATATTGACAAGAGGAAGGAATGACAAAAAAATATTTAAAAAAATTGAGTCTTGAAGATGTAAAATGGTGACGAAGACAAACTGTGAAAAAGTTGAACAAGTTCAGTCGGATACCTCTTGTCACATGCGCAGGCCGTCCGACCGAACATCGGCAACCAAAGTGAGAAGTGAGTAATACACACATTGTACAAGGGGCTGCAGCTAACGACCTTGCTAACCAGCGACGCCACACATCATACAAGGGCTGCAGTGCTGACAATCTTGCTGATCAGTGTCGATCTTGCCCCCCAGTGTCATCACATCCTATACAAAATGATACGGTTCTTTGAACCCACTGCTGCAACTAGCCCCGCAGCTGGATGCACAGCAATGATCGTCACAATAGACCCTGCAGCAATCAATAGAAATTTTTCCCCACAACCCCATCCACCCACACACACACACACACACACACACACACACACACACACCAAAGTTGCATGTCAGTTGACTCGCTAGATAGAGAAACTTGTGTGTGATTTTTTTGACAAAGCTGCAACAGAAGGATCTGAGCTAGGTTCCAAAGATATGCGAACATTACCCCAACAGATGCAACAGACATTCAGATATTATTATTATTATTATTATCAGGGAAAATTTGTCTGGCGCCCCTGTATTTTGCGATAATTCGCGTCGCGCCCCTCCTACGGCCGGTTTGCCCTGTCGCGCCCCTCTGAGCAGGGTTGAAATTTTCGAAAAGACCCCGGTGTCGTTTGGGCCTCAAATCTTTTCGTCACGCCCCTACCGGTACCGGTCAGCAATTTGCATGATGCCCCTACCGGATGGCCGTTAAAAGCCAGCGGACAAATTTTCGAGATGCCCCTACCGGTACCATCCATCTTTTCGGCACGCCCTTGTTGCCATTGGAGGCACTTTGGGGCATTCCCCCCGGGCCTGTGAGGGAGCTACCGGGGCATGACAGAAATTTGTCGGTGGCCCCATCTTTCCGCCGCGCCATTGCTTGCATACAACGACAGTAGGCCACTGCGGCTGGGTGATTTTAGCCTGTGCGGCCTCCCTGCGATGCACATTATCCTTGCTCTCTCTGTGTGTGTGTGTGTGTGTGTGTGTGTGTGTGTGTGTGTGTGTGTGTGTGTGTGTGTGTGTGTGTGTGTGTGTGTG